CTCTACAAATTATTATAAATATTTAGTTTTTACAAACAAGGAGAGCTCTGAASCTGAACCAACCTTTATTATCCAATAAATGTATTCATAGTGAGCACATGTTTCTGTGTTCATTTTAGGCCTTCACTGATCTGAATAAYTAAACTTACAAATGTCTGAAGCAGCTTTTCTGCTTCAACCTGTCCACGAGGTGGCAGTGCTGTCTGTCTGCAGTGGCTGCAGGTGAAGTTTAGCTCCAAACATGTTGGATAAATCTCAGCGTTTCTCTGAGGTTCGGTGCCAAACACTGACCACCAGAGGGCGCTGGAATACATGTTTTTATTGAAAATGGGTCATAAAACCTCTGCTAAGACTTAGAAAACTCATGATAGTTTTTGTTTGTTAGCCCCAGCCTGTTAGTTTTTTTTCTGTGCATTAATTTGTTTCACTCAATCTTATTGGTTTGAATCCCGCGCATTTTTAAGAAAAATTGTAAACTTGATTTTTTTTGTCAAAAAAWTTAGACTTGAACTCAAATTTAAGGCTTTTATTTGCGTTTTTATTTTATTTGGATGAGAGTTTTTGTTATTTTGTTTATTGCCTGTTATTTGACAACAATTTAGTCTGATAATATCACTGTTTTTTATGGAATAACTAAAATTGTACTTTTTTTGTTAAAATCAATAAAAATGTCACCCTTTTGCAAAAATATTTCAGCTATTTAACTCTGTTTTGATGTCTATTTTCTTTGTTGGGGGTGCTTTAACTTTACAAATCAACAATTACATGCACAATCAGTTTTTGTGTTTTACACCTCTAATGCATAGTTTTCATTGACTAAATGCATGACTAAAGTTTAATAAATAAAACAAATCTAAAGCATGATTTTCTAGTTTGCTAACCTTGATTTAAAACTAATCAGGAAACAAAGTGTTTAAGCTTAAATAGGCTTTTACGTACTCATAGAGAGGGAAAAAAACAAGGCCTGTATTTTAAGTCTGAGGTTCTGATTTCATCATTAAGTGAACGTGAAGTTTTGTTATGTCACAACTTGTGCGCATGGAGAACACGTTGAAGAAAGAACCAGAACYGAGTGGAGGCTCTGAGAGCAGCTCAGTTTCTCTACAAGCTTCCAGCAGCTGTTCAACATCACCACCATCTCCTGATGGACAGGTCCAACTGAGGGACAGAAATAACCCTCGGGGAGAGGGGGAGCTGTACCAACTCCTGAACGGGGGTGTGGGAGCTCCTGTCAGGTGATGGGACTCTAATGTTTAAAAAAGAAAAGTGAACATAATTAAAAGAAATTGAACAGATGTGACAGACTGACAGATGTCCACACAGGACTGACTGTCTCATCCATCAAAGACTTTTAGTTTCTCTCTGATCTAAGGGGACGGATCAATACCATCCCATCTCCTGCACCCGGTGGTACGGTTCAAGTGSTGCTCGGCTATTTCTGTCCCTCATGGCAGGAATGTTCAGTTGTCATTGAAGAACACAGATTAGTCCTTGAGTGCTTGTTCTGGTGTGACGTTCATCTCTGCTCAGACCACCTTTCATTCAGAAAAGTCTCAGGAAAAGGAGCGCCGATGGAGAGTGTGGCGATTTTTGACTCACCTGGGAAAGGGAGGGGTTTGAAGGCCAACAAGGAGTTTTGGGCTGGAGATGTCATTTTCTCTGAGGCCAGCATCGCAGCCGTTGTGTTCGACAGGTAGGATGGTTACGGATCACCAGGAGGACTTTTGATTTTTTTTTCCTTAACTTTTCGTCCAAATATGTTACATATTTGTTCTCAAATACTTAACAGGTGGATTTCAGTGGTTTGAACATCATATTCTCCCTCATGAGTGTTCACAGTGTTGAAACAACAAAAATAGGACATTCTGTCTCATAAAATGTGTTTGACTTGCTGCCTTCTCAGAAATACTCCTTGTAACTCTTTGACAGCTGTTGTAGCTTTCACAACATGGACCATGTGGGGAAACAAYCTCGAGTCAAAGTTCAAGTTTTTATGGAACTAATTATATTTGCTGATAGGCTACGAGTGTTTTGAGTTTAAATCATCAGAAAGATGGAAGAAAATCTTCATTACTTCACTTAAAACTGCTGGAAAAGTTGTTTTAATTTGATAGAGACGTGAAAATAAAATTCCTAGCATTCTTTAAAGGAAGGGATGTCACCTGATACCTTAGAAGGCAAATTTTAAATGATTTCTAACACTTGTGGTGGATTAGTGTCAGATATCACAAATGTCACCTCAACATCTATAAAACAGACTGATTTATGATGTTTGCGAAAGCTGATTAGCTGGCGTTCATCTTGACTCTTAACTCCAAAAGTTAACCCGTTGTAGATCTGGTGGACGTCAGTAAGGTTTACCACGTTTGAAAGCCATTGTCAAGATTTTTTTTTTGTTTCTTTGTATTCTTTGATTTTCTGCTTTTCTTTTCTCCTGTAGTCTCGCAGAGCGAATTTGCCACAGCTGTTTCCGCAGACCAGAGAAGGCCCAGCGGTGCGGCCAGTGCAAATTTGCTCACTACTGTGACCGAACCTGCCAACGTGCCGCCTGGGCCGAACACAAAGTGGAATGCGGTGCCATCAAAGCTTACGGAAAAGTACCGAATGAGAATATCCGGTGAGGGGGAGCAAAAAGAAAGCCGGGACTGCCCCGGCTTTGTGATCACTCATRAATAAAACTAACACCTTCTTTCACCGCGACCCTGCGTGACCTCTCCGACGCTGTTTTTTTGTTTCGGTCAGACTGGTGGCCCGCATCTTGTGGCGCCTTGATAAGGAGGGGAGCGTGGTGTCCGACATGCAGCTGACCACGCTGGACGAGCTGGAGGACCACATCAACGACATGCAAGAGGACGACCTGAAGGAGTTAAAAGTGGACGTCCACAACTTCCTGGACTACTGGCCTCGAACCAGCAAGCAGCACCTGATCGACAACATCTCACACATATTTGGAGTGGTGCGTGGTTTAAAACTGCTCAAAACAGGCTCCCAATTTTGACCAGGAAATATTAGAAACAGCCCGCTCCACCAGACAGGGCAGTGGCTCACAGAGTCTTTCCAACAATGTTTGACTAACAGCTGCCAAGCAGGATTTAAAATTTTTACATTTAATAATTATCCAGTAACAACTTGTGCCTAACAGTTTGTACAGTTTGCCAATAATGTACACAAAGACCAAGTAGTAAAAGTGATAAGAACGGTCCAGGCTTTTATTCCTGGTTCCAGCCTGTCGATCTGGTGTTCCCGGCTCTTTTATTATAAGTCAAATATTTGATACCACATGCTTATCACAGTGTTATATGTAGAGGTTCAAAATCTGGAATAATGCTGGCTTATTTGCCAAGATATAACAGCCAATAAGTGTCAAATGAGATTTTATTGTTCTTTTCCTGCTCCTATGTCACAGTTTTATCATTATTATTATTATTATTATTATTATTGGTAACTGCTCAGTGTATTTAAGCACATTCAGTTTAGAAAACTAAATTCTTTCCATTTTTTTTAGATTNCCTCAGAATTATAATTTATCCATCATAAATAATTTGTCTTTGACAAAACTTTCTTATTGTAAAAAACTGCTTGTTGTGTTTGTCTCAAAGAGAAATAAAACAAATTGATATTTAAAAACAACATATCGAGTTGCATCAAACGCAAAGCAAAATTTTCACTGAAATAGTGAATTATACGYCAAAATAAACAGTGAAACACAAAATGAACAATATATTTTATTTATTTGATTTCCCCAGTGCTTATTGGTTTGAATAAGAATGAGAACAAATGTTTATTATTATTATTATTGGTAACTGCTCAGTGTATTTAAGCACATTCAGTTTAGAAAACTAAATTCTTTCCATTTTTTTTAGATTTGACTGCTCTAACCCTAAGATTGAATCCTGTCATGTTGAATGTTCCAGATCAACTGTAACGGCTTCTCTGTGAGCGACCAGAGGGGTCTGCAGGCGGTGGGAGTTGGTCTTTTCCCAAACTTGTGCCTGGTTAACCACAACTGCTGGCCAAACTGCACCGTCATCCTCAACCATGGCAAGTAAGTTACAAATAACTGAGAACATAAAGAGCAACAACAAAACACTTCTCAGTGACACGCGTTCCCTCGACATTTCTGTTTGCATTTAGCTGGAAATGAATTTAACTGAATGAAAAATATCAAAGTCCTCAGTGTTTAGGAGCTCGAGTTGATTTGTGGGTATGTCGTGTTTTGTTGTTTTTGTGCAGTTTGTGTTATTTGTCAGGTATCATTTGCTGTAAAAAAAACTGCCTGTTTGTCTTTCAGTCAATCGGCTGTGAGTACTGTGTTTCACTCTCAACAGAGGTGCGTTACCTCAACCGAAGCCTTTCAAACAAAGAGCAGAACGCTGAACTCTAATAAACCTTTCATTTGGACATAACCCTGTGCATCGTTTGTAAAATAAAAACCACTTTTCTTTTTTATGCCGYTGCACTTTGTTCAGCGTGACTCCGTCTGCTCATCGACCTGAATGCTCTAACATTTATTGGTTTTATTGTTGTGCAACAAAAGGCTGCTGTAATAATCTTTTTTCACGTTTTTTCCCCCTAAAACAAAACACATATCGTTCTAACCTCTTGTCAGAGCCGCACACAAAGTTTTTCTTGTGTGCTGCTGGTTTTTCCCTTTACATGTCTTTGTATCATGAAAATRCAGAAGCTTTGGTCTGTGTTCATAGTTCACATCTAACATCTTATAACATTTTCACCTTTTTTTTAAAGGTGCTATCTGATAGAATTTAATTGTTCAGTTATTGCCAACCAACCAGCTAGTTTGCTCTGGTTGTTCTTCTTGATGTTATTTAGCTGCGTCTTTAGTTCAATGTTTATCCAAAGTGCAAACTCTTAGAATGCAGCTGGCAAGAGTACTTTTATTTGTTTTTTCATCTTGGAGAAAATCTGCTTTAAGCTATAGAACAAGTTACACCAGGTACAATATGTCTCTGGTGTTGCTAAAGGCCCTGTCACACTAGATAACTTATGCCAACTTATGAACATTTTAAAGATATCTACACTGATGATGGAATTAAAAAAATCAACAGGAAGCTTCTTTTCGGTGTGTAATGTATATTCAAACAAATTGATCAAACAACTTTTATTAGCAATGTAGACATAAAAAATGTTGAGCTGACTTTGCAATCACAGTCACTGGGATTATTTCAGTCTGTGGGCCTRGCTTTATTTTGATCAAATAAAATTAAACGCATAAAGGCTTTTTTGATCAGGGTGATTCCTGACCAGGCCCATAACCCTGTCTGAAAAATATAAATTTATTGTTTGTAGATAAAATTGACCAAATCAAGGCCATTTCAGTATTTAAAACACTATATAACTCTGTATAATTCAACTCTTTTGTTTTATCATTTTCCAAAATAAAAGTTTGCAACTATTGGTTTAATTCTTTTATTATTTGATGAAGAGATGAAGTTTGAAGGCAACCTTTGGGAGAGGTAGGTAGCAGGAATAGGGGTGGGGGGTTCAGCTTGGCTTTGAAGTAAGAAAGTGGAGGGCTTTGAGGATAGTAGGTAGGGAACCACTGGTCTCGAGTCTGCTAACAGCACAGAATAAACTGGTCTGATCTACTATATAGGTTTTGTGGCATGGGGTCCGGCTCGTACTGCAGTCAGTGGTGAAACAGGAAGCCAAAGAATCAACAGAATCTGAACCTTAAGAATTTAAATTCTCACAAATAGCACCTCTTTTCCCCTCATGTAGTTAACTCACAAAATCACAGGTTTTGTGGAACTAAGTGTGTTATAGTTTATTAGAAGCACACTGATTTCTTGAATTGACTGGACAGAAGGCCACATAATGAAGCCGTTTTCATCTTCAGTCTTATACATTATTATCATTATTATTGTTATTATTTTACAAATTTCTATCTCTCTCCTCTTCAGGATCGAGCTGCGTTCTTTGGGTAAGATTGAGGAAGGAGAGGAGCTCACCGTCTCCTATGTGGACTACTTGAATTTGTCCGAGGAGAGACAGAGGCTTCTGAAAACACAGTACTACTTTGACTGCACGTGTGAACACTGCAAGAACAAAACCCACGATGACGTGAAGATGGGGGGGAAAGAGGTGGAGGGAGTCAAGGTTGGTGTTTTTGAGTTTACTTCCAGGGTGGGGGGTGCAAAAAGGGCCAAACGCTCGAGTCGGGTTGCATTTAGAAGCAACAGGAGCGATAAGAACAGAATGACACATGAGAAGCAGAACTACAGACTATTTTTAAGCTAAGATAACTCACAAGTGGATTTGGCCTTTGGTGCATGAACACGTGGGTTTTGAGAGGCAGTTGAAGGTGACAAAATAGAGAAAAATGAAAATTTATATGCCTATTTGTTTAAATGCTAAGTCATTTTACAGTTTTAACATAAAGCAAAAACCATTACCTTATTTTACATCCTACAAATTTAAGCATGTTTAGAAGTATGAGAGCAAACAAGTAAGATGGAGCTTGATATTCATTTAAAATGAAAGATTGGATCTTTTGAAAAAAAGTGATGTGAACAAATAACATCTTACTTGTTATAGATAGGTCTTGGAACAGCTGCAGTTTGAAAAAACACAGTTTAATTCTGACCAGAACAAGCTAACAGCTACCAGATAGCATGAGCTAAAGCCAAACAACTTCAATTTTTAAAAAAAATTATTGCGATTTACGCAAATAGCAAATCTATTCTGCTCTTGGCCCTGACTGGTGTAGCCAGTTTGTCAGTCTCGTCAGAACCAAACTTAATTTCTCCAAAACAATGGTGCTAAAAGATTTATCAGTTCTTGTCAATAACCTTTACAAAGAGCTGAACTTCAGAGGATCTGATGACTTGAAGTTGTTCAATCCTACAAAAAATGTATTTTTATTACAAGTTTGCTCGATTATTGACCTAAAAATGTGCTGAATTTGAATGTTTTTTTTTTCTCGGTCAGTTACTACAGAACATTTGCCAGAAGAAAAGTCTTGGTTCTGTTTAAAATCCTGGACGAGGGTATTGCAAAGGGACAAAGGTCTTTTTCAGATTAAAAAATAATAACAATAATCAGGTGTATCAAGGCAAAGCCCATCACACATGCTCACATTCTCATTCTACATTTCACATCTCATATTACATTTAAAAATTTCATGAAACTTTTCTTTGTTGGTTAATTTCTTACAGCCTTCAGATGAACAGGTGAAGGAGGCAACAGATTACTGTTTTCAGATGATGGATAAGATGGACAAGGCTCGATTAAACGGTGACTACCACGAGGTATTGTAAAAGATAATCTGCAACGCCGAAGGACTTCAGCATTTTGGCTCTTTAAAACCAATTAACACAGAATTTTTCTTTGCTTGGAAAGGTGGTGAAAATCTGCAGGGATTGCATCGAGAAGACCGAGCCCATTCTGGCCGACACTCACATCTACCTGCTGAGGATGTGGAGCACAATGAGCGAGGTCCAGTCCTACCTGCAGAACTTTGAAGAAGCTGCAGATTACGCCCGTAAAATGGTGGATGGATACACGTGAGTGCGAACACACAAATCAGAGTTGAGCTTTTCTGAAATTTTTGTATTTTTTTTCCTCAAAACATTTACTGTTAAATTATGTTTTTTTGTTCTCTCATTTCTGGCAGGAAATTGTACCAACCAAACAACGCAGCTCTGGGTATGGCAGCCATGCGAGCAGGAGTGACGCACTGGCAGGCTGGACTGATAGAAGTCGGACACGCGATGATCTGCAAGGCCTACGCCATCCTCATGATCACCCATGGTCCAACACATCCCATCACCAAGGACCTCGAGGTAAACAACCTAATTATTCGTCAATTTGGGCATGAGGTCTGGTAAAACTTTTTATCCGTTTTAAGACGATTCTGTTTAACAGCTGCTGCCAACTGCCCTAAAAATATTTTGAATGAATATTTTCTTGATTTCTCCTCAGGCCATGCGCGTCCAGACAGAGATGGAGCTGAGGATGTTCAAGCAGAACGAGTACGTTTACTACAGCATGAGGGAAGCGGCTCTGAAAAACAAACCCATGACCATGCTGCACGAACCCAAGTCCGTGGAGGAGGGGATCAAGAACCTGTTCCACCGGAAGAAGTAGCCTCGAACGTGGGACTGTAAACAGACTTCACCGTGTTCTTTACATTTTAGTCACATGACCAATTTGTGTTGCAACATTTTATAGTTTCAATAAAAAAAATGTCTTCTCAGACTTGTGGTTCATATGCAGACACTCTGCATGGTTACACTTCACATTTGCAGGGTTTATTACAGAAAATACTGAGCTAAACTGTGGCAATTTATAGGGTTCATTATAAAATAGTTTGCATGGCTTTAGGTAAAAAAAAAAATATGGGAGAGCCAAATATAAAAACAGTTTCCTGTACAAAAACTTATTCCAATATGGCTTCTGGGATGAAGATGGTAAGAGTTGATTATGCATGGCAACTTTAGCCCCCTTAGTCTTTGTTCCACCTGTGGGCAAAATGTGTTTCTGCTTTGAAAACATTTCTGAAGTTACTGGGGGCTTTTTTTTGGCAGGGGTTGGGGGGGTGATTAAAAAATAGTTTTCATACTTTTAACTTGACAAGCTTTCAAAAAATAAAAATAAAAATAAAAAAATCTAAAGACTAAAGAAATTTCAGGGGCAACTGTTCTGTGGTTGATTTCACACTCTTCCAARGGAGCTTAATTTTCCCCATGCACCCTGAATTGAAATACCATTTAAACCAGTGGTGTCCAAAGTCAGTCCTCGAGGGCTGGTGTTCTGCATGTGCTGCCTGGGTTTAATACAGCTGAACCTAAGTAGGCCTCCACAGACCTTGATGGCAATACTGAAGAATCCTTTGTAAACACTAYTTAAGTTCAGCTGTGTTGAACCAGGGCACCTCCTAAAACATGCAGGACACCAGCCTTCGGACACCACTGAATTAAAGCTTCACAATTTAATCTTGAATGAACCACTAGAATTTTCAGGCACCCGTATTCAGCTTTTTACTTGATATGGTCAGGGAAAACACTGCATTGACTCCAAATTTGATTCAAGTCACGTGTTCACAATCAATATAATATGCCCGTTTAACACAATGACTATGATGGGCATATGGTATCAATTCACAGCATATGACAATTTAGAAAGATTTTCATTTTGCCTATAACTGAATCATTCAAATCGAGATGTATTGGTACACCCCTACTAAACATTTAGTTCATTCCAGCTGTCACTGCAACCAGCAGCAAAGGCAAATAGAGACAGTGTCARTCTGACAAAGTTCCAGGAGAGAAGAAATCCCACCTCAGGAGTTGACTGGTTAGTTGCAGAGCTCAAAACAGAATCCTGACCTAGCAGAACCGCAAATTGTTTCGGATAACTAGCCTGCCCAGATCAGGATGGCAAATAAGGTTAAGGATCATTTCCACTGAGATTAAACATCCACACAGGTTCTGCTTTTTAGCCATTGTTTTTATTCAAGTGTAATCAGTTACATACGTTTGCTTATCCTCTTGTATAAAAGACCACCAAGAGTCATCGTCTGCAAAGAAAGGGAAAAGCTTATAAAATAAAAAAGTGTCTTTTTTAAATGCACTGCAAACAAAAACTTACATTCACAATTGTGTTCTGATCCACCATTTCTGTAACCGAATCAACTCCCTTCAGAGAGACCTTCAGCTTGCCACCATCTCTTTGAAACACTCCCTGTTAAAATAGAGAGCTTTTAGGAATTTCATTTACACTGTAGTTTCTAAATTGGAATAAGAAGTTCGTATTACCTTGACCTTCTCTCCAGTCATGGTCTCCAGCTCAGTCTCCTGACCAATCGTGAACTCRTTGACAATCACCTTTGAGCCAGTGGTGATAGTCACCTTRAAGTGATCACCATTCTCCTCAAATTCAGAGATGCTCTTCACGTCTTTTCCCTTCTGGATGAGGTCATCAGGAAGCCCTGTGATAGAGGTCCTTTGAGTGAAACTCTGAAACATCCATAGTTTGAAAGCAGGAAGAATGAAGCACCAGACTCACCCATTGCCTTCATGAAAGGCTCAAAGTTCTCCTGAGACTCCAGCTGGTATTTTCCAGAGAAGGACATGATGGCAGACAGTGAAGGTGAAGTAAAAGGAGGCAAGCTGCATGTTTTATACTCCCCAGCTGCAGGGTCTCAATGATTGACAACAGGTGACTCAAATTAAGGCAGCTGGAGATCATCCCATGCAACATTAAGGATTGACCTCTGCAGATAAAGGCTGGCGGGGAGATAAAAGAAGCACAAATTGTCTTGAGTTTGGTAATCTTTAAAGGATTGTTGCTCTTTATAACACATCTGCACCCCAAAAAMCCTATATGAGTGCAGTTGAAAATGAAGAAGGTGGAGGTGTGTGGAGGTGGGGTGGGGAGAAAAAAAACTCAAGGAGCAAAATGCTCCCACAGGGGGTCAGCTCCCCCGCTGACCCAGGTAGTCTCCCCTGTTTTCCGAGACCCACCCAGGGGATGAGGCCACAATACCTCTTCCTCCGGACAGATTGTCAGGCCTGGAAGGCCCGAGATCATGGACAGACACAGCCCAGAGGACCACCAGAAACCGGGACCAACAGTCCACTCGCCACAGAGCCGTCCAGACACCYAAGACCYGACCCCCAGCCCCACAGCCAACCTGCAACCCAAAGAAGCTACCGAACCCCAGCAAGACCTGCACTGCGCCAGCCAACGGTTTTACGATAGACCCCATATTTGAGGAAAGGCTCCTTTCAAAGAGGGGGTGTCAGGACATGCAAAAATGCTTATAACTCAGAAACTTTTCGAAATAGGAGCTTCAGATTTCTTTTGTTGTTTAGCTCTGATGAAGCTCTATCCATCAAGCCCACCAATCAGTGCCCCCCATCCCCCAGATCCCCAAATTAACTGAAAAAGGGGTATCTGGACATACAAAAAGGGTTATTGCTCAAAAACTAATAAACATAGAGCTTCATATTTTCATTGGTTGTTTAGCTCTGA